AAGTAAAACCACATTTCTCCAAAATCTCAACTTTTCATGAGCTGAGAAAAACAGCTTCATGATGATGCATTTTTCAGTTCAATGCATTTCAATGGTTTGTTTAATATAATACTTAGTATTGAAAATTGCATGGTTTTGGCTGAACAATGGTGATTTCTAAGTCTGGGGATATAATGTGATCCTGTCTCTAATACCACACACATACTTGTATACCTTCTGAAAATGCTGCTATTGTTGAAATTTACATTTACATTTCACATTTATTTTCACATTTACATCTGAAATCATGCAGCTATAGTATGTATAAAAGTTAGTGATGAGTCAAGTATAGATTTTATAAGCAATTTTGTTTTGTTTTTCATTTAGCTTTATCAACCCAGCCATCTAACAGGATCTGGGATAACTAAGAATTGCATTTTTGTGGCCAAGAGCAATGTTGCCTTTTTCTGTCTTATGTTATATAATATTACTCTGACACCCTTTAACGGATGAACCATAAACAAATAATAGAATGACTCACTAATGATAAAAAGAACAAAACATTTACCATGACAGACAGGTTTACATTATCTTTGTATCTGGGCAGGGACTCAGGTGAGGACAACATATGTTATCTGTGATAATAATCTAAATTCTTCTCTAAACACGCCCACATACCTGTCTATCAGCACTGACAGGAGAGGGTCATCTTTTTTTTATCCAAAATGTTTCTAAGTCTCTAAGATTCAGGCTATTAGTTATGAAAAACCCTTGAAATCTGTCAACACTAAGATACTGGTTGACAATAATCGCTTAAATCAACCAGATATATCTTTTAAAGACTTAATCTTACTGAGAATCACCTGTAACACCAGTGTCATCATTATCTACCTGTCAGTCTCTGCACCTCTCAATGTTGACTTTACACTGACCCTCTCATCTTTCAGCAGATGCAGAGGAAAATGAAGGAGGTATGGACAGGTTGTTTATGAAGCACAGAGGCTATGTGTGTGACAGAGGAAAAATCTGGCACTGTGGGTTTATTTTCTTAATAAGTCACCTCATAAACTAAGGATTTTACTTTTCTCTTCTTTTTTTATTGATTCACAGAAGAGGCAAAGCCCAAGGGAAAGTAAGAGCTGAGAAAAATATTTAAATTGAAAGACAGTTCTCAATGAGGGACATACTAAGATGAAAAGATTTTAATTTTTCCACCCTCCTTAGGCCTGGCTTTCTGCCCGGCTTGGCTGCTCCCAAAATCCCAGAGGGAGAAAGAGTGGACTTTGACGTGAGTTCATCTTGTTACTGATCAAAGTTACAACTTCAAACTGTCTTTTGCTCAGATTGTTGGATAACTTCTCAGCTCACACAGTTCCAATTATCGCTATAATTTCAGGACATTCATAGAAAACGAATGGAAAAGGACCTGACGGAGCTCCACACTCTGATTGAAGCTCACTTTGAGAAGCGTAAGAAGGAGGAAGAAGAGCTTCTTAGCCTCACAGATCGCATTGTATGTTCATATCTCACGCCTCTACTGCAATATATCTCGTGTTTAATCTTCAGTATTACCCAATGCTAAAATTAAGTGTTCTCTTTTGACATATTGAGTTTACAGGATATGTTCTTTTCTTTTTCGTTCCTCAGGAGAAACGCAGGTCAGAGAGAGCAGAGCAGATAAAGATCAGGGCAGAGAGAGAAAAAGAACGGCAGAACAAAGTGGCTGTACGTATACTTCAACAAATAACATTCACAGATCATAACTGTGAGACAGAGGTGTCTATCTATCTATTAATGTGTCACTCATCAAAATACTGCAGATGAATGATTAAAGTTACCATATTCTTTACCATCAGGAAGAGAAAGCCAGAAAAGAAGATGAAGAAGCAAAGAAGAAAGCAGACGATGATGCCAGGAAGAAGATGATTCTGTCCAACTTGAGTTTCACTGGATATAAGGTGATGAAATTCTTTATTTTTTACAATGTCATAGACTGATAACCACATAGTGTACAAGCACATCACAACATATGCTCTCTTTCTGACCAGCAGACGCAGACTGGGCCAAAAAGACAGACGGAAAGAGAAAAGAAGAAGAAGATCCTAAATGACCGACGCAAAGAGTTAAATGTTGATCAAATGAGAGAGGACCAACTCAGGTAAAATAAAAACAGAGCGAAAAAAAATGTTCTTCTCTTTCAATTCATTCTAAATACCAATTCCATTATCAATTTGAGGTACAAAATAACCCAACCAATTGTTATTATTCATCACGTGAGCACAATGAAATGCTTCCTTGTTCATACTGACAGAGAAAAAGCTAAGGAACTGTGGGAGTGGATTCGCCAGCTGGAGGCAGAGAAATATGAACTTCAGTATAAGCATGCAAACCAGAAGTATGAGGTAAGATATCATTCATACATTCTTGTAGTGTCATCACAATCATGTACATGTACATCAACTATGTGTCTCTTGTCTAAATTGTTTAAGGGATTAGTTTTAATACCTTTAATCATAAGCCCAAACAGATTTTTTCCTTTATAAATATTATATGACTATTAGAGATGTGCTATAGATTATAGTGATTATAGGTGATTTAAATGTATTGTAACTACCACAATCAAATTGCAGGACTTCCACAAGAATCAGAGGTTGAGACTGCAGTTAGCAAAGCTAGTAGTTGCCCTTTAGCCGGATTAGCTCGATTGTGTTATCCTACTTGTTCTCCATCATGATGGGATTCAGCTACTGCCTCATTTATGTGGGATCCAAAACTGTTTTACTAACATTGTGATCACATTTTTTTTTTTTCAATTATAGTGAACAGGTTGAAAACAGTACACTTGCAAAAAATTGTACATAACATTTTTGGCCGGAGTCTGTCCCTGACTTACTGAGCGAGTAAGTTCCACCATTGAGTTTTCCCATTGGCTGTTGATCTTTTAAAATGAATGGGATGGACAGCTCTTAATTACATCCACAGGAGCATAATGAGCATATGGTCCAGCCATATAATAGGTTTCAACTTAGTCTTGTTTAAATGGTAAAACAAATGTAAAAAATCCTGATTCGGTTTTGTCCAAATATTTAGTGCATTCTGGTTTTATAGAACAGATGTCAATGAATGTTTAAACAATATATTTTCCACAGGTCACAGTGCTGAGAAACCGAGTCAGTGATCATCAGAAAATGTAAGTCTATTGAGTTGTGGATGCTCATATCATGGTACATTTTATTTATTGCCTTCTTACGCATGTACAGCATGAAAGCAAGAAGTAGTGTTGTAGTGAATCAAAGCATTTTTTTGTCTTAAGTGTGATATAATATCACTTCTATGTATATCACCTCTATAATCTGACAGCTATGTTTATCTGTGTAGTGTAAAAAATAGTTTTGGACAACAGTGTAGACTTTTCATCAAAACAGGTAGAAATACAAAATCATACAAAAAGGCAGATACCATTCAAGTAAGCAATAATTATTTCCCTGTGTAGATGACTGCCCTGATGTTCACCTAGTGACCTCCTCATGTTTCCACCTCCTCCTGTTTCAGCTTCCACTCAGCTTATCTCACTGCAGTGGTCTCTATTTGTTTCCAGCTGCGTCAGTAACATTAGTTTGTTCCTGCTGACAGAACTAAAGTTTCCTGAGTACACCCAGCCAAACAGGACTGCAAAAACAAAAAGGGCGATGAGAGGCAGGCTGGGGTATTTGAACAACATACATGCACTCAGTCTCAGAGAAGAGATGGACTGTATTGGAGGTTCAACAGCTGAGAGATCTCATAACTGCTATGTGATATCATCTTGTTAATGTAGCTCTCAATAACAAGGTGACCGGCCCCTGCTGCCATCCAGCTCAGTGGTAATCCTTCCTCCTGATCTCATTTAGGCTGTGCTGCAATGGGGGCTCAGGCACTACGCAAAACTGTAACAAGCTAATAAAAGTGGTTTTCCTGCAGAATATGACATTGGCTTTGCAAACCAGGAATATTGCAATACCGCCACTGATCATCTCAAACAAGTAGGCTATCCCTTTTGAAATAGAGCCTTGATTTATATTGTGTTTTTTTTCAGGTAAACAGCCAACAGCACTATATTGTCCAACATATAACAAACCATAATTTGTCAAAGATATACCTGAAATTGATCGATTCATGTATTCATGGGTCAGGTACCTCGCTAGCAACAGCAGATAAAGATAGCAGTAAACTATTTGTTTGCAAATCCCCTTCCAACTGCAGACAGCTATGAAAAGCTTTCAGTAGCTACAGTATCTGAGGCCAGCAGCAGCTTTCTGTAGAGCAGTGGTTCCTAACCTGGGGGTCGGGACCCCTGGGTGTGTCACAAGATGATTATTTGGGAGGAAAATAAGAACAAACTTTCAAAATTCTAAAATACAATATGTTTACTTTTTCTCTAATCTTTTTCTCAAAATTCCTCTCTCCCACCTCGTGGTGCTGCTAAAATTATTAAATATAATTCTGAAAATTCTCATCTGAGAAAGAGAAATCAATCTTTGATTGAACCACTCGCAATTCACTGACATGCACCCTTTAATGATAGATCACAATAAGTAGATTGCTTTTTGGTAAGGGGTCATAAGCAAGAAAGATTTGGGTTCACAGCTGATGAATTGCATTGGGCTCCAGAGATTCTTAAAAAAAAAGTTTCAGGATGACTGAGCAAACAGATGGTCTGCAGTGATTCCATAAGGGTGCAAAAAAACATCCAATAACCAAATTCTGAACTATAAACATATATTGCTTCAAATAAAAGGTTAATGGCATTACATCCAAATGTTACGACTGTTAAGACCTGAAGGGCTGTTGTGGTTTTATGCAATGGTGAGCTTTGTCTGAAATTATTTACATTTCAAATGCAGCTGCAGAGTGACTTATTTGCATCAGTAGAATAAATTACATTTTTGAAGCTGGAACAAGATCGGTAAGAGCATCAGCCATGTCGCTCAAAATGTAGTAATCCACACAGAAATGCTTTTCTCATGGAAGGGAGTATACGAGATCCAGAGTGCATCACAAGTTTGGTAGGTTGTATGCTGGCTTGTGTGACAGGTCTCACTCTTCACTTTATTCTCAGTACAAAGGGTGCCAGAAGCAAGCGTGGACTGAGGAAGTAACATCTGACATCAACCGGAGGAATACTGGCAACATTTGACTTCCATGGAATCATTGAGAGTAACATAGACCACATAATAATGTTTTCTCAATACTGAGCATGCAAGAACAAATTACAATAAAATATAATATATATATATAAAAACACGAAAATATCATAAGATGCTCTAAAATGTGTTATCAGTTAAATGAAGTGCATGCAGGAAAGTAGCAGTATAGTAGACGGTCTCTGATTGCTGACTGATCAGGCGATGTGTTGCAGCTTGTGTTTATTTGACAAGAGGTGTTTAAACCCATTATAATGACTTTAGTGTCTGAAAGGACAGAAATATAAGATTATTCTATATGTCCTATAATTCATTTTTTAACAGTACTAAAAGTGAAGTGTAAACATGTTTGTGGTTGGAATTAATTAAAAAATACTTTAACAAAACAAAAATAGCATCCTCTTTCTTTTAAGTCTTTGGTTCCTTTCCTTGTGGGAACCTTTAAGATGAGCACTAACTCTGTTGTAATTGTAACACAGTCACACCTCCTTTAATGAGGTTACAATGCTTGACAAAATCTAAATGTAGTTTACTTTGGCCAGCCAGTTGTTATGATTGGCAAATTCAGTTAATTTCATTTTTTACTGACAGTTTTCCAGGCAGGCTTGACATGTGCCAACAGTACTACAAATACATAAATCTATCAGTGTAAAATGAAAAAAAATTAGCGGTACCAGAGGCCTAATAAAACTAAATATTGCTCCCAGAATTCCCTCATGACTGTTGGGTGTATTATGTGATTTGAACTGTGGAGGACAAAATTTCAATTCGGGTCGACAATTAAATAATGCAACAGCAGGGTGCAACAACTGCTGCAGTGTCTGCTCTTAACAGTTTGTCCTTAACCTTTAGAAAAAAAATTGTAAGGGTGGAGTAAACAGAATTGGAAAGATACTCATCTGCCCAGAAGCATTTCAATGTGGCCAAAATCTAGAGGGGTGTGACAAGACATGAGTGTGGTTAGACAAAACTCACCAGTGACTATGACAAATGACTAATAATGAACTTAGGACTTAATAAATACTCACTTGAGGAGTAGATCTCTGTCAGCTTTATTGACAATTTTTGAAACAATACAAGTAGCAAATTTCACACACATGCATATGAAAAAAGATGGATACACCACAAACACAAGTTGTCTTCACAAAATGTAAACACAGATCACTGCTTAAGACAAGATGTCACTGTTTTTATAGCAAACCTATCCTAACTTATAAGTCTAACAGAAAATGTCCTCTTCTATAAATGTTCATTTTACATAAAACATTTTTTTACAATGTTGTAATGATATTAAAACAGCAATTTCAGTGCAAAATTAAATCTTAACCCATATGTTATTATCTAATAAAGCAAGCTCATGGCACCAGATAGCACATTGCAGGCACAGATGCAGAAGTTGCATTAAAAGACAGCAGTTAAAACTGCAAAAGCAAATCAAATCTTGCAGTCTTGTTCCTAAAATGTTACATCTTAACCTTCACCTTTTTTCCTACAAAAGAAAAGTAACCTTACAGCATATACAGGCCTAATCTGCTGTTTGTAGATATTTATTGATGGAATGATTGGATACATATATGACAATGTCTTTGAGAAATGAGAAAGGATGCTGCTCAGCCTCAATGCGTTTCCGTCCTGTGCATGTGCAGGAGACTTGCAGGTGAGTTACTTCGGTGATTGACATTCAGAGATCTGTTTAGGCGTGTTGTCGTGTTAATCGACAATTTGAACCGACTTGTGTGCAGCTGTGGTGACGTCGTTCACAAATGAGGACTTACTCATCCCTTGCTGCAGGACAAATAGTTAAAGTTAAATCAGTGTTCCACCTCTGTAATTTCACTAAACACGTTGTGAGTGACACATTAACAGCTGTGATCTGCTCATGGGAATTTCTTGGTAAAACACCTTGAGTTGAAATGTGCGCCTGCGTAAATACAATATTGCATCTAATCTGCTGTGGTTTGTGTGCAAACACAGTCCTGCAAGTGTTTCCTCTAACCTGAGCTACTAGTTTCAGCTGTATCACTTCCGTGTCTTATTCGCATTCAATGGGCATTTCCTGACAACACTGCCTAATCCTTCAACTTTTCTCCCTCTGTTTCTCACAAATACCTAAGAGAGGTGTGGACTTTAAGTGAAGGAAGGAAACAGAGAGGACACACCCAAACCCTGACAAATCTTGGCACTCAGGGTTAAGTCTGAACTCACCTTTTTCAGGAAGCTTTGCAAGTCTTTTTCTGACCACAGGTTGTAGAGAAGCAGGGCTGCAGCTTTTCTAGTTTTGGGGAAATATCTTAATGGGGAGAGAAGGATTATTAAAGATCAGTTTGGACTTCTGGAAATCTAACATGCATGGCAAATATAAATTGCTTGTGAGTCATAGGTATTCCATATATCTTGAATAATAAGTACATGTGACCTTACTCGTTTTGGCTGAGATCATTCAGTGAGTTTATCAGGTTGTTGTTTAACAGACGCTTGCTCATCTCAGGCTCCTTCATAAGCAGGTAGTTGGTGGTCTGGCAGGCCATAGCAAGTGTGTCATCAGACTCATTCCCTTCCTTGGTGCCTGCGCTCAGGACGCTTAGCAGCTCCGGGAGGGCTTTACGAGCTTCAGTAAGAAGGCAAACAAAACCCACTGGCTATTTAACATAAGCAAACACTTAGTAGATGATTGTTTAAGATAATGGATTTCTAGACACCAATCTGTCATCTACTCTGAAACTAAAATTATTGTAGAATCTTAAAACCAGTATTTACCAGTAACAAGTTTTGTCTTGCACCTGCATCTTACCTATGACACTGTGCAGGTTTGGGTTCTTCGTCAGGTTTCCAACCAAAGCCGTTGTGTTCCTCTGCAGGTTCACTTTGCTTGACTTCAAAAGGGGACTGATAACTTGCAAGCCATTCAGTTTCTGCACAATGATCTGGCTCATTACACCAGAGACCTGTGAATAATTATGACTCAAGTTTTGCTTGTAGAAAACATATTTACAATGATAATTTAAAGGAAGTCTAAACTAGTCTCCATGAGCTACAACTGCACAGATATAAACCAAATGTAGTTTTTTTTTTTCTTACAATGCCTTCATTTGTAGTGAGGTTCTGCAGCGCTCCACAACAGGCTTCCTGTGTTTCTTCTTGCTGGCTAGAGCCAAGCAGCGACAGGTAACTCTGCAGAGTTTCGGAGTGGATCAGCCAACCTGCACCATGAGGTTGTGGATCCTCAACAACTGGAAAGTCAAAGTGCTGCTGGACAAGAAAGAAAGCAGTTCATCCTCAACATGTAGCTGTTACAGCATTTACTTTTAAAGAAATGCAGAATTTCACTGCGTTTTTTTAGGAAACACACGATAAATCTGAATTATTTGTACAACAGTGTGTCATGGTGCTGGATGCAAACATGAAACACATACAGTAATAGCCTGAAATGTGTTTTAACTTGGGCAAAGACTTAACAAAAAGTACACTTTTAGGAATCAAAGCACAAGGTCTCACACTGTCACTCTGAGCCTTTGAAAAGATGGATTGTAATTATAATTGCCATAATGCTCAGTAGTGTTCAGTCTTAGTTAGTCCTGAAGAATAGGAATAATGACAAGGCACAGATTGACAGCTACTGTCTAGACAAACTGTAAAAAAGAATAAACAAGTATCTCTGATGTGCCGTCATTAATTAAATGTATCCCTTAGGCATTCGGTATGTGTGTTTGTCTCTGTTGTGCACCTTCCTCGTCTCACCTCGTGTTCTGGCGATTTGCTCTGTGGACTGAAGCAGCCGATGGGACCGATGTCGTCCTGGCTGTGGTTCCTCATGACAGTCTTGGCCAAAGTTGTGATCCTGCTAAACAGAGCCGGCGCCTCGGCCTCCAGCTGGAACGTCAGGTTGTGCAGGATGCACACGCAATTTTCTACAGACTGTTTCAACAAGGTAGAACAACACACAACAAAAGGGAACATGTATGACTCAGAGTCTTGACAAGAAATTGATAAAAAACACAAATAAGGCAAACAGATGAACAAGTTGTCCATTGAATAGTGTCAAACAAAGCAGTTATCCTGCTTGAGAAGTCTTATTGGTGATGCCTAATCACAGTATTTAAATGATCTATAAAACTCTACTATATTGTACAGTATACTAAGTACACAGTTTTCTGTGCATGACACAGCAGCGCCTTTCTCTGCAGTAGAACGGCAACAGTTAGTTACATAATAGCAAAGGCTGCTTAACTTCCAACTGCAGCACATTGCTATAGTGACAGATATTTTTTTTCTTTGTGTTCACGTTGCACATGAAGGTGTGACATGTGCATGTGAGTGAATGAGAAAATGAGAGTGAAAGAAGTACCTACAGGCCGAGATACAGAGTGCAGTAAATTTTTTTCTCTTGTTTACCTTATCATCCGGTTGTCCTGCTTCCACGCAGTTTTTTACATATTTGACCAAAGAGTCGATCAAACCTCGACATTTTCTCATCGCCTGTCGGTTGTTTTGCTTCGCACTGCTTAAGTTTCTGTTGAAAAACAAATATAATATGTTAAACAATGTTTTGATACATTAAAGAGTATACAGACACTGGCATCAATATAAGAGATATTCTAACACATACAGGGTACGAAGATCACAGCCACTTCTGTGAGTACGTAAATATTATTGTTAATCAATTAATAAAGCTTGTCTCTCGTCTTATCGGATATGAAATTCACCATGCCTTAAAAGTAAACAATATTAATCGTGTCAGTAAGTCAGTAAAATAATTTACATCAAAGCCATTTGTCTGCTGATGTAGTATATTAGATAATATTATCATGCTAATATCACCTGTAACTGTGGTGTGATTTATGTTGATGTAGTACATTTACACTCCTTTGCTGCCTGACACTTGCAATTTATTGTTTGTAAGCTTGTAAAGATTTGGAAAGATATTGAAGGCGCTAGCTTTGTACAGCAAGAAAATAATTAAGAGCAATGAAGGCAGGTTAAATATTAGAAAGAACGGTCAGTATAATGCAGTACATACAAACTCAGTACATTTTAGCTAATGGTTGCTAATAAACTCACTATAGTGATGATATTAAGAATAGTATAGTATATATTTATAAATAAAATATAATAAAGATATTTCTCATACCGTTGTCTTATTAACAAATGTTGCTCAAAGGGCAAATAGACCCACTTTTTTGAGTTAAAAATGTAATAAATAAATGAATAATAACACCCTATATGCACTGTCACTTTATTGAACTATTAATTTTTCCTGGTCACAGACTATAAGTTTTCTATAGTTATCCGAGAAAAATACGTGAAAAATCTGACATTGTATACTCCCTAAACATCACGCTCACATGTATTTTATAAATTGACATATAATCAACTGTTGGCAGTAAGTTCAGAGTTTCTTATTTCTAAAAAACTTCCAAGTTTGCAACCGAGAATAGCTTCAGTAGACTTACCTTACATCCCCCCTCCCACTTATTCAAATCCACAATGATTAATTAAGGCTTTTCAAACATGTCAATGCAGCGAACCAATCTTGCCTTACAACAAAATAAATCTTTACAGGAAAACATTCCTAAAAGCATGCCAAGTTATACACAATTATCTGGTACATGTTTGACATTTACAGCTTTCATGAACATGATTTAATGTTTGTACACATACAGTAGGCAATAAGATCCGAAGCATTATGAGAGCTAAAGCAAAGACGCCGACATGATATCAATTGCTCAGTTTAATTTTGTCCTTACCTTAGACATCCAGTGGTGTGAAAGAAGGCCTCAGGGTCACTGTTGGTCCGGTCAGGTCCTGTTGTGTAAGGCAGGATCACACGCTCCATTAAGACAGGCAGAGCGCTCTTCAGCAGGTCTGGCTTCAGGCTGTCTACAGAGGACAAATTCCACAGGAGACCTAGAAACAGAATTAAAACCTCAGTTGTTTCAGCTGTACAGAAATCAATATTTACTCAATGGCAATGATAAAAATATGAAAGAAAAAAAGTACATTGATTTTATAGGTTTTAAGGTTTTTGTACATTTTACTATATTATTATTATTATTATTATAACGTTTAAATTACATGAAAACCAGAGTGTTGGATAACAGAACTACAACTTGATTTTCCAGATGTTTATAATGTTCAAATGAAACCACAGTTTAAGTATTTAATACATTTGCATCTAAATCCACATTTAACCTACTCACTGGAACAGTAGCAAAGTCATTCTGTTCTGCTTCAAATGCTACACTCACGAATAGCTTAGTGATTGACAGCAGGATCTAAACAGAATATATTATACTACACACAAGTGGCTCTCTGTCTGACCTGTTTGCATGGATTGTTATATGGTATGTATGTGAAGTGTTGCCAGAGATAACTCGTACCTGTCAGCTGTTTCTCTGTCTCTGCAGAGTCGGTATCTCTGAGCAGAGCCACAGCCTCTGTGATGCCACCACAGCGATGGATCTCTTCCTTGTTACTGTTGCTCTTAAAGGACAGGTTACGAAGGGCAGCCGAGGCTGTATGGCTGACTTGTAAACTGGGGCTGCGCAGCAGACCAACCAAAGGAGGGATCCCATTGAATTTAAAAACCTGCGAGACAAGAGGACTTAGTTAGCACAACTGAGGAACACAATAATTTACCACAATCCAAATGACAGTGATTTATTCCATAAGAAGATTTTATTTTCTAAGATGGATAACTTAAACTAAGTTAAATAATATTTCATTTAGAGAAATGGCAAGTAAAAAGTCAGCAGTTCAGCTACAATACAAATTGGGGAAAGCTAGCAATTGCCCAGGGACATGAGACCAAAAAGTCCACCATTCCTGAACAAGATTCAAATTACCAATCCATGCACGAGGGACTCCCAGGAAGTCTCAAATTTTATCACACAGATATCAGACCCACTGTTTATTGTTCCTTCTTTAACATTGTATCAGGGTTACTGCTGATGCACAGCAACCATTTATTATTCAAATAACAGGGGCTGAAATATAAATCGTAGTCTTGCATAATACATCACAGTTAGGGACCTTTCAAATCTGAGCACACACATATAATTCAAAGCAAAAAATAGTTAATTTAATTTATGTCATATTACACTATATTATTATAAATTTAGTCTATACTGTCTTCATGTGGTACATGTTCCTAAATAAAGTAGATTTTAACCAAACTGCCTAAAACAACTTGGGGACAGTTACAGGTTAGGAGTAGTGTTTGGTTTGTGGATCTTTTGGAGGTATAGTTACGCAAACTAGAAATGGTGGGAGGTGAGGGGCATCTAATAGCAGCTGATACAACCTGCCGATTAATTTTCAATTTAAAGTGAAATATTGTTCTTAGGTCT